CGACAAACCCAGCCGGGCCGGGCGGTGGGACAGCCCGGGAGGAGGGGACGGGAGGAGGGACAGTCCCATCCCCATCACTCCCATCCCCATCACTCCCATCTCCATCATTCCCATCTCCATCACTCCCATGCCCATCACTCCCATCCCCATCACTCCCATCCCCATCGCTCCCATCCCCATCACTCCCATCCCCATTGCTCACATCCCCATCACTGCCATCCCCGGTTGATCCCTTCCAGAGAGAAGCCTGTGGGAGGGTTATTCCCAAAAACATTTTGTTCTATAACACATAAAACAAGTCGATGCATACCTTAGATTCTTTTTATTTTCTTTTTATTTTCTTTTTTTTTTTTTCAGAACCTCTCTATGAAGTTGCTTTGTGAGTACAATTTTCTCCTTGGGGCATTAAGACGGAGGGCACTGTACTGGTATCTGTTCCTATAAAGCCTGTTTGCTCAGGGAAAAGCAAAGATTTATTTGCCTTACAGGAGGAGGATCTGAAGACCTTGGCAGTTAAGTTAGCAACATGAGGACTTAGCATGTGGTTGCAGGAGATAGCCAGACTGTTCTTTAATATGGTAGAAAAACTGAAGGATACTCTGGGTGCTTTGCTGTGCCTGTCACATGCCATGGAAAACCTGTTCTCTGTGGGAAATTTTTGCCATTATTTAGGAAAGTAAAAGAGAGAAATTTTCAGCTCTTCTTTTAAGTTCTACACTTGCCTTTCTCTATAAGAAACATGTCAGTGCTTGGCCAAGTATTACTTTGCAGAGTTCCTGTTAGCATATGATTATACAAACACATCTTCTGCCCTGTCCTCATCTCAGTCTTCAACACCTTCATACTGCTTTCCTACTCAGAGACACACCACAGCCATCTGTAGCAATTTTTCCCAAATAATCCTGGTATCTACTTTCCAAAGGCTGGACTGTCTGCTGGTAACTTTAGAGTATAACATGGTAATGCCATGGGAGTTTATAGTACCAGTATTAACCAGAGCTTCTTTGTGTGTAATTCTTTTAACATCACTTTCTTGTGTCTTTCAGAGCCTCCCAGACCCTCACTAGAATAGTATGAATTTTGCTGTTTCACAGATTATGTGGTAGATCTTGTCTCTAAGGTGTAAATGAAGTGCCATCTGCTTTAGTTGTCCCTCTCACTCTGTCTCTCTGTCCCAGCCGCAGAACTGCAGATGTCGCCCTGCTGCAGCCTGAGGTGGAAGTCCCTGCTAAGTGCCAACAGGAGGAAATGTACTCTAGCCCTGAAAAGACCACCATGAAAGACAGGAAAAGCCCTGAGTATGAGAACCTTGTGACTGCAATGGAATCTCAATATGAAACAGAAGGAATTTTGTAAAGGACCAGCTTTTCCACATAAGCAGCCACGCAGGGCTGCAGGTGCTGAATAGTGAACTCAGCAGAAGGAAACTCTGCCTCCTGCTGTCTCTCTGTTCTGCTCTCACTGCTTGCTTTAACCCAGAGGAGCTGCATAACCTTTTGGTCTTTGGCAGACCAGGCCCTGCCTGCAGGAGCAGAAACCCCCAGCCAACTGTGTGTCTACTCACTTATATAGAGCAAGTTGTTTCTCAGCAACCTGAAGGACCCAGGGCAGGAAGAAAGGATCTGAAGGAGTGAGAACATGAAATTCTTTAGCCTGTAAATCCAGGAATAGTTGGTGCAGTGCTGCCAGTCAGTAACACTAGCAAGGGATACTCTCCAATGTGTGTTCCTATTAAGACATCCCAGGCTGCAAGGAACCAGGATTGTGCTGGAAATGGAGATCCTCTGGCTTTTGCAGTTCAGCAAATACTGGTTGTACATCCTGCCTGTGCTTGAATCTTTTTGTTGTTGTTGTTGTTACAGCATGGTCTCTGAACTGTCACCCACTGGTTTTCTCCTGGAAAACAAGAACTGATGTTGAAGGAAATGCTGGCATTTAATTTTTACAGTATGGGGGCCAGAGGCATGATAAAATAGAAATTTGAGGCATTTGGATAACGATTAAGGGGCCTCTCTGAATACAACAGGCTGACACCAATTTACTCTGGGGGATGTAAGTCAATCTGTGTGATTATTGTGCAACATGTAGATGCAGTTCCTGCGTTCAGCTGCAGTGCATTCCCTACAGTACACTGTCACTCAGCAGCCTGATTTGCCTTGTCACTGTTAATTGTTTGCATCTTGCCTGGACTGCAGTGCTGCTGTCAGTTCTGTCCTCTCTGTCTGTGCCTCCAGCCAGCATCTCTTTGTCCTCCAGGGACTTGGCAGGGAGGAGAAATGCCTTTGGCTTTAGCACACCAAATTTGTAAGAATTACTGGCTTTTTTATATCAGTGGATGCAGCAAAGAAAGCATGGGGAAGCAGCTGAGCGTGTCACACACACCCTCCTACTGGGCCCTGACTTCACCCACAAGGCCATGAATCATCTCTGTTTGGGTCAGCAGCCTAACAGCAGGGTCACTTTGCTGTTTGTGGCCTGAGTGCTGTGTAGAGCCACACTTTTACCTTAACAGCTCTGAATTGCAGGATGTGAGCTGAGAAAGATCAGAGAAAAAAAATCTCCTGCCTATATTGTGAGGGCTTCACAAGCATGGTGACAGCCATGCAGGGAGGGCTGTGCTGGCTGCCAGGCTGCACACCAGGGAGGCAGACAGGGTCCAGTCTGTCCCTGTGAGACCCATGGCAGCCAGCCCTGAGGACCTCATGCTGCAGAAGCTGCTGGCATCAGCAGTTCCAGGGGTGGTGCAGAACAAAGGATTTGAGGGGAATGGAGAGCTGCAGCCATGCTCATGCAGGGCAGTAGCATATGGTGCAAGGTCAGTACTGGGTGAAAAGGGAACTGAAAATTTCTCAGCTTCCCCATCCTTACCTCAGCAAATCTAGGCCCAAAACACATGACATGGCACTCTCCTTTCCCTTCCCCCCACATATAATCCTCATTCATTTTCAATTAGCTCGGTAGTTTGTGCAAGTTTTCCTGCTGTTAAAAGCTCTGAGCTCCAGGTTCACTCATTGAGTATGTAACACCAGTGTTTTTCCATCTTGTGATTCCTCCCAGCACTGATCTGCTCTGACAAGGTCTGAATGCCTTCCTCAGAAGACATGAAGCCTGGGAGAAGCTACAGAGGAAGAAGGTAACAGGAGCTAAGAAAGGGGGAGCAGATGGACCCAGATGGACCAGCCCCCATGTACTCCATGTTGTCACTTCTCTAGTTAGGGCAGCAACAGGACTTTGGTCACAAGTAGCAGAAGAGTGGAAACATTAGAAGCCTGTCTCCAGTGCTGAGGTGTTTTTCCATGGGTAACAATTGTGTGATTATTTCTGTATTTTACTTTTTGCATGTTTTCCATGTTTCTAGTAAAACCTGTTGGCAACAGAACATTTTTCTTCTGAAAGCCACAGGGAGTTCTGCAGAAAACTTCTCCTTTCCTTGCACTGTGCTCGTGTGCTGAGCTCTGCTCCAGAAGGGAAGGAGAAGCTCAGCTTCTGCCCTGAAAGGACACTGCCTCCCAAAAACACACTAACTCAAGTGGCCATCACAGTGTCATGAGACTCACAGTTCCCCTTGCAGTGCCTGCCCCATGGAGGGGACCTGCTGGCTTTTACAGCTGCTGGGTTTGTACCATACTTCAGAGCAGGGAGGTGGGAGATGAAGTCCCAGAGAAATTTGTACCACTGTAATTTGATGCTTGTTCTTGTAAGAGTGGAAGGAGTTTACTTTCTTCCCCTTCACCCCAGTCACCTGGAAAGATCTGGGAGCTAAAGGGAAGAGTTATCTAAAAAGCAGAGGGTAAATTACTGGAAGCAAATATTGAAAATGCATGAGGAAACAATAATGAAGGGCATAAACAAACCCTTGGCCAGCTGTAGTGCAAAGGAGGCTGGGTCTGTTGAAACCTCAAGGTTTGAGTGACATCAGGGCTTGGGGCTGACATGGCTGTGTGCTTCATGGAGGAGCCACTGGGGACAAAGCAAAGCCTGAAATCTTAGACCTTGCTCTCTTTTGAAGCTAACCTCAGTGATAAAGATCAGAGTGATGTCTGTGAGTCATGAGGAGGTGCTTGAGAGAGACCATGGGTGTGTGAGTCACAAGGAGGAGGGCCATTTCTGACCACTTGTGGACCATGTTTGTCCAGAAGTGCACAAGCTATTCAAAAAGCAGAACACAATTTGCTTAGGCAATTATATATTCATAGGTTCCAGCTCAGTACAAACTCCAGCTTCTTCAAAATATTTACTAAGGAATAGTTGCCATAAAAAGCCCAAAAGCTTAGTATTCAAGTTTATTAATACTCTCAAATATTGCAAAATTTTCTGGTGGTACTGTCCTAAAACTAGTCAGTAGAGTCTTGGGATTTATTTTATTCTTGAGTTTTCCATGTCAAATGCGTTCAGAGAGTTTGATTTGTAAAATTGGGCTGGATGCTGCCCCTGTCATTCCCCCACCGTGACATATCTGAAATGCTACAAGTCAGTTACTGAAAACGCTTAGCAATCATTACATCTTCAAGTGGGATGATTTAGAGGGAATTACTTTAATTAAATAGCAGAATAGGCAATCTTGCTGCAAGTGCTGACTAGGAATAACCATGCACAAACAAGAAATCTTCTCCAAACAGCAAGGCTCCTAGGAGAGGCAATGGTCTCCATGGCCTAATTTAAAACAGCTTGAACCAACATGCATTTTTCACACGCTAATGGGCCACAGGGAAGTTAATGAGCAGCCTCATTAGTTTGTACTCCATATAAAATGATTACTACATGTGCAAAGGCAAGATTCTTTATTATGGATAATGCTGCCTTTTGCCATGATGTTGTGATTATAGTTGCCAGGATCCTTGTTAACTGAGCTTAATTTACAGCTGGCTAGTTAATGCTGTGTAAGAGAACAGCATTGTTTTTGGATGCAAATAACAAGGACCCAGGGCACAATTCCCTGTCTTCACAGTGCAGAGAAGTTGCACCAGCACCCCTTCTGCTCTGATTTACAGTTGGGAGGGACACCCCAACAGGTACTTCCAAAACCAGGGTGGAAGGGAAACCTGGCAGCACAAGATCCTTCAGGTGTTCTGGAACACTGGGATGGGCTGCTCAGTACCTCGGTGGCTTTCTGGAGAAATGCCGAGCCTGGAGAGGAAGGCTCCGGCCGGAGCAGGAGGAAAGAGCTGCGCCCTCGGCGTCGCGTTGCTCAGCAGTGCCTCACTTGGGGTATTTGACAAACTGACACTCTGCACACTGAGTGTCGGACTCAGCTTGTCAAATACACGCAGTGCCACACTGCAGCTCCCGAGGGCCTCGCCAGATGCCAGCCTGGACACACTGAAGAGAAGCACAGCAGCTGTGGTTAACTTCACAGGCTTTTTCCAGTTAGCAAAAAGCATCATGTATCCTCCCATATTTCCCCCTTCTGCTCTCTTTTTTGGGTGAGAGAGAACCACACCAGCAGACACTGCCTTCTGCTGCTGAGGAAAATACCCACTCTATTTATTTCAAAAGTCAGAAAAAGTACAATTCGGCCCCTGGGCATACATATAGGTGTTCATCACTGACTCTGTTGGAGGCTCCTCCATTTGGCAGAATACTGTAAAGATTATGATGCTGAAAAAAAACCAGGCTTGCTTCCCCACAAAGGGAAACAATGAACTTTAGAAGTGAAGTGAAACTTTCTCTTCCGTTGACAAACGAACCCCCTTCTGCTTCATTTCTAGTGAACAGAGAAAGCCCTTGCTGCAATAAATGGAGATTTCCACCTCCAAACACTGGCAAAATCCAGCCTTTAAGGATGAACATCATATTCACACACACACACACATGCACACCTCTTGCACAAATATACTGTTATTCCCTTGTTCTTTTAACAGGAGTGTGCAGGAAATGCAGAAATGCACCTAAAGAAAACTAAATAACAAAACATACACAAGAGAATGTGTTGCACAGTATTACTCTGTTCTGTGTCCTTCTCAGATGTTGACTGTTTAGAAAACCAGTCTAAAAAAAGATTTGAAATTCTGATAGAGTACAACTCTCCCAGAAAAACCCATACTGGATCCTAAGTCACACACCCATTCAGCACAACACTGTTTATGTCATTCATACTTTTTGTGGACATGTCCAGATATAGCTGAGTTTTTAGCATGGTGTTTTAGCTTCCTTACCAGTCCATGGATTTTAATTTCCCATGACCAGCATCACCAGTTTGTGAGAAAGTAGTCATGCTATTTTTAGTATCAAAATAAAGACTGAAATGTTTGTAATTATATTTTTAAGGTAGACCATTAAAGACATTAAAGTAGAATTAGATTAAGTATATTAACAGTATCATACAATGGGCAATTCATCAACCATTTCCACCTCTAACTTCTGTGATTATTTTACACAGATGATCATAGGATTCCATCTAATATCACATACAGAAACATACCTGGAAAGGAAAAGTTTTTTTCAGGTGAAAGCACAGCAAATACATCTTCTCCAAAACTAGAAGAGAGCAGAGTAAGACTTAAGAGCAAAAAAAAACAGCAACAGCTTTAAAGGTAAAATCTGTTTTTAGACTGAGTCACTACCAGGCTTTGCAATTCTGGCATTCCCCTGTCTCCACCTTTGCCTTGGGTGCAATGTAGATAGTGACCAGTTCTGTGCTCTGCCTCCTCATTCCAAATGCAGCTCAGCCATGGCAGATAAAACTATGTGGCAATGGATAAAATCAGCACATGCACTTCATGAAGATAGGAAAACTATGTTAATGAGCTGATTTAAGATCAGCCTATGGGAGTACATGTGAACCTGTGATTCCCCAAAGGACTCTAAGCCATACCAAAACATGGGGAAGCCACTAGAGAAAGACTAAGCAGGCTCTTCCAAGGGTATCAGTGACCAGATTGCCTTCAGCTTCAGTGCTGATGTCTAACAGAGGCAGATCAGGCCTTGGAGGGGGAAGAAGAAAACAAGGCAGCACTGCTTCTGCAATTGAAGCTTAAAATAATCCCCCACTGTGGCTTTCTGAGGGGAAAAACAGCCACTTAAAATGTTGCTGTGAGGGACAGATAAGGGGTGGGGACACAATAGAGATAATTCTATCAGCAGATGGGAATGGAACTTGAAACTCTACCCGTAGAGATCATATCTGATGTGAATGGATTTGTCATTGTCAGAGCTTCTGGTTTCAAGCTAAAGTGGGTATTCCCCAGTAAAAGCTCAGTGTTGTAAAACTGAGCAATCTACTGCATACTCTTGAAGGCCAAACAGAAAGAATTTTTCTTCCTGCATTCTGACATAAGTCAGTCCCTTACCAAATTCACAAAAAGTCCCCTCCAGGCTGCACATCATCGCTCAGGTATTTTTACAGGGCTGTCAGACTGTTCTGCAACTTGTAATGAAAATAAATGAAAAATAAGATTACTGGATAGATTCAACTCTAAACCTAGTAACAGCGTGCATGGAAGTGTGGCTGTGTGTTTTTCACATGTTGAGTAGCAGAGCCTTAGGATGCAGGCTGCAGCCATTTCAAGGCATGCATTTATTATGCAGGATTTGAACTAGAATCAAGGTCATCTCTGTTCTCCCCTTGGTGAAACACAAATCACAGCCTGAATTGAAAGCAAGAGTCCCCACAGATCTGTGGCAACAGGGTCTGCTGAGCCCCTGGCCAGCTGAAACCTTGGCTTGTGCTTCTCCTAGGAGCTGGAAGCCTTTGTCATAACAGAGACAAATAAGGCTTTGCTCATGGCAGGCTTCCACTGGATGCTGTCCTGCTCCATATATGACCTTCCTATGCCCCCAGCCCTGCAGTGGACACTGCAAGGAGCTTTGCCAGACAAATGCTGGTTTGAAGCCCCCAGGAAGGGCCTGATAATGCCCCCATTACCTTCAGGTCACCCTCACATGCTCCCACAACCCCTGCACTCCCCATAGCCCCTGTCCCTGCACACTGGACTCTGTCCCTGTCCCCAGACACCCAAAGAGAGGAAGTGCAGTAAACTTTCATCTGCTCTACTGAAACCATGGGGGCAGTGAGAAATGGAGCTGAAGAGCACACAGGCACATGGCTGGGACAGGGTCTCTCCCTGCTTACACCCTCCTCCATCCCACACCCTCCCCTGCTCATTATGAGCTGCCTCATCTATGACTAATTTAGATCAACATCTCCCACTGCCAGCAGCTCACAGGCAGCATGTGTGTGTCTGTGAGCTGAGGGAGCACACACATGTACCCTGCTCCTGAGTATATATCACTGCTAAATATAATTCATCTTCATCAAGGAGCCAGGGCACAATGCTCCCTGGCTCACACCAGTGGCATTCCATCCCTGAGCCTGCCCTCCCCAAGCACACCCAGGCAAATGCTACCTCATCCCTGAAAGGAGCCACCCAAGAGCCCCTCTGGCTTAGGCAGACACAGCCCAGCACTGAAGGGCTGCAGCCCAAACCCAAGCAGAATTAAGATCCTGTCCAAGTCCGAGGCGTAACATGGGGTGGAAGGACAGCTTTCTTCACTGCCAGGAACATGGACACCGCACACCTTTCAGTGTCCCCAACACCCATGGGCCTTTAGGATTTTAGGATGAACCCCAAAGGACACATCCTCCCCTGTCCCCAGCCCCTGTTCTGTGGGCAGGACAGGGACCTGGCACCTACCATGGCGGGGCCGTGCAGAGCTGTGTCAGGCCGGGCCGGCAGCACGGGCTCAGTGAGGGTCATGCAGGAGCGCAGTGGGGGCTCAGCCCGGGCACACAGCTCGGTTTTGAAGGGGCTGCTCCTCCTTCAAGAGGAAGCTGCGAATGGGGAAGATAAGGCTGAGGTTAGATAACAGGAAATGTCTGGATGTGAGTGACAACACATCCAGGTTGTGAAAGCAGCACTCCCCATCCTGCACGAGGCTCACGAGCGAGCGGGGTGAGGGCGAGTGCCATGGCCTTTGCCCAGTGCAGCCATGACGCCTCAGGGCCGGGCACGCAGGGCCTGCAGCACGCAGCCACCGGCAGGGCAAGGATGGGCACTGGGGAGGCTGTGAGCAGCCACCGACTGTCCCCAGTCCATCCATCTCCATCCCACATTGGTCAGGCTCTGCTGCCCTGGCTGCTGGGGAGCCATGCAGGGGGTTGTGAAGGCACAAACAGCCACAAGGGCTCTGGTTCGGGACACAGGCTCATGCCCAGGGGTAGATCTCTCACCCTGAGAGGAGTCTGAGTGAGGTGCAGGGAAGCAGAGTTCTGTCCCCAGGGCTCCAGCCATTGCAGGAGGTTTTGTTCCAAAAGCTGCCCTGCAAGGCTCACCATGCTTTTGAACTCATCGCCATGCCTCAGCTCTTCTGTTCCCTCACACTCACATGAGGAATTTGCTTTCCCAATTCCAGCACCCAACCAAGGAGCTGGCCCTGTCTCTGTGCCCCTGCTGGTCCCTCCACACACCTCTGGTGTCCACTGAGGTCCCTGTCCTAGAGCATCCATAATGTCGGCACAGAAGAGTAAACACCAGTGGATAGTTCAGAGCTGTAACCAAAGCAAGTCCCACAGTTTCTCCTCTCCTGTCCCCTCCCTGTACCACCCTCAGTATGAGGCAGGCTCAGGTGGCACCTAGAATCAGTGCTGTTTTCATCCAGCCTGGCCAGAACCTCAGCTGGTCAGCACAGCTGTGGGGACAGAGACCTGCAAGCTGCATTTGCCCAGGCCAGCAGCACAGTCTGGCCATGCAAGACCAAAATGACTTCAAGCAAACCCAGGAATTTTAGAGTCATTCCTCATCTTTCTAGGCCAGTATGATACACAGTTTATTTTATAAGACCATGATTCATTAAACATATATTTCTCTGTGTTTGCCATCAGCTAGCCGTGATGGTGTGATGGACACTTGAGGGACACCCCTTCTGTAGGATTGGTTTTCCCACTCCCAGCATTCAGCTGCAGCCCTTCCTTTCCAGTTTTGCCTTCCCACTGCTGTCTGGCTCTTCAGCCAAACCCCACAGACAGCCTCCAGTGCTGGTGGCTGGGGCCTGCCCTAGTCCAGCAGCTTTCAGTTACATTATCAGTGTGCCAGGACTGCAACCACAGACTTTGTGTTTCTGCAGCTCTGACCAAACCCTTAATCTGGAAAGCACTTATTTATGCCTCCAAGTAACTGAGGCCCCTGGGAGCACCCACGAGATACTCCTGAGACTTTGCACACACAGTAAGACCAGCCAGCCTGCCAACAGTCAAACCCATTCCCTGTGGCTGAGGAAAAGTCAGATAATGAGGAATACAGTTACTGTCCAGTTCCTCTTTCATTTGCCTGTGTTTTAAAATATACAGTAAAAGAGGAATGGACAGGTCTGGGTGGTTTTGTTCTGTTTTTACTTTGGTTTTAACTGGTTGCAAGGAGTAGGGCTGTTCATGTAGTCTCTGTAGTTTTTTATGCAAGCCAGCATGAGCTTGAGTGCATGAAGGCTTTCTAGCCAACATGCCACCAGAAACCTGAGACTCACCAGCTGGAGCAGTGGGAGATCAAGCATCCTTCCCCAGCCAGGACACTCTGCTTTGCCTGCACCTGACCCCAGCCCAGTCCTGTGGGCCCACAGTAACATCCAAGGTGGAAGGCTCTCAGGGAAGCTGATTTCCTCTATGCTTTGCAGATGTCACCACACTGCCCTACTCTGTGCAACAGCCTTGAAATCACACTCAGCATTTCCCAATGAAGGGACTGCTTTCAGTGCACTTGCAGTGCACGCAGCTCTTAGCTTGCTCTGGGAAGAGGAAGAAGAGGTAGAGAAGCTGTGGGCATCACAGACTGCCATCAAATAATGTTTCAGAGACTTCTGCACACTGCTCCCCAAATTTTCTTGGAAAATTACTTGTAAAAAAGTGCATCTATTTGATTAGCATGCAGCAAATTCTCTCACAATGCAGTCTCAAATTCTTGTACTTTTTACCTGCCATAAAGTAGGGCATGAAGGATTAGCAGGTTTGTACTGGACATGATAAAACTGGGACTAATTTAATTCCTATGTTGCTCTGTGCAGATCAATCCACACAGACATGAAACAAAGAAGGACATGGAACTCTTGGAGCAAGTGCAGAGCAGATCCACAAAGGTCATAAAAGGAGTGGAGCACCTCCCTGACAAAGACAGGTAAAAGAGTTGAGGCTGCTTAGCCTGGAGAAGAAAAGAGTGTGTAGAGAGACCTTACAGCAACTTTAGTATTTGAAGGACCTACAGATACTGGAAGCTGGAGAGGGATTCTTCATTAGGAACTGTCATGACAGGACAAGGAGTAATGGGTACAAAT